CTAACCCTAATTGGGTTGTACCCCTTATGGGCTACCCCACTACAGCCTACACAAATGTATAAGCTATAATGTTCCGACAATCCCTCACGCCTAAATGACGCTGACTTCATCGGTGTGGATTACTCCTCCCTGCCTCGACGACGTGCCTCTGGCACTACTGCCGACTTGGTCATCGGCGTTGACGCCTACGTCGACGCCGCCCTCGTTGTTCACCGGTCGACGAGAAGCAGGCCAAGAAGGGTGCTCCGTTGCCCACACGGCGCGGATGCCAGCCTCGATGACCGCCTAGGGGATGTCTCCGTACTCGCGCGCCTCATGGCGTCTCCTCGAATCCTCCAGCCGTGCCTCCAAGGTGTCTGCAACACAAGTGTCACCTACGCCAACTGTGGTGGTCACTAATGTACAGCTTCCAGCTTACTGACAACTTAGGTAAGTGACAACTTTGTCGAATAGTCTGAAATTTCCTCCACGCTCACAGCACCATGCGGAGACAACTTAATTCAACGGGAGCTAAACTACGGGCTAGGCACGGGGCAAGAGTGATCTCTGCATTCGTTCCTTAGTCGTTTCCTTTTGTTCACACTGCTTGCTAATTCACGAAGAGAATTAGCAAGAGTTTCATTAGGAAAACATGACAACAAGGTTCAGAATGATAGCAACAAAGTTGGCAAGCTTGACAACATCAGAGCTAGCATGCAAGCAGGATGACTGCCAGCGCATCATGGTTGACCGTGCTCCGGCTCGACTTGGTCGACCGCGTTCCGGCTCGACTTGGTCGACCGCACTCCAGTAGTGCAAAGTAGAGGCCTCCCAACAATTCAAGTCGACAGCATGCCAACGCTGCAACAAGTCGGCTGCACAGTGCTGCACTCGTAAGAGAGTAGCGCACCCGCTTCGCAGGTGCTCGAAGACGATTGGCAGGCTGTGTCTTGTCACCTATACAGCGCACACGCCAAGTTGTCTCGTGCTGGCGACTGCTCCTGATCAGCCACGTCGACCACGGGATACCACACCGAGGACGGCTTCGCCACTAACACCTGGGCGACTGTCGCGTGCCTCCGTAGAAACCCGTCGCCCATGTAACCTGGTGGACCAAACAACCACCGCGTCGACCTGCTTCTCCTTTTGCCAGTCGACCTCCCAAGCCGACGACCTCCTCTGGTGGACCACACCAGGTTAATTTCACCCTCAGTCGACCAGCTCGAGGTCGACCATCCTCCAGGTCGACCAACCCCAAGTCGACCATTACATATATTAGCCGACCACCCAAGTCAGCTTCCCTCAGTCTGCATCACCAAGTCAACGCCCTCCACATGTCAACCGCCCAAGTCGACCTCCCGAAGTCGGCGTCCCCCCGAAGTCGGCGCCCTTGCACTGCCACCCGTGCAGGTCCACCAGCCCTGTCGACCAGCTCGCTCACTGATGCTGGTCGGCTGCACCCCTCACACCCGACCATGAGGTTGGCTCCGCCCAAGCGAGGACGGGGCCTACCACAACTCCCGTTGACACGTGAGCTTAGGGCGAGCGAATTCAGACAACAGTGGTGCCACGTATTGGCATAGCAAACTGGCGTGGAATGCGTCATGGATTTTCATATCATTCGGGAGTAGCACCTTTGCATAGACATGCGTCTGTATGATGCAGAAGGGTCCGATGTAGTGGGGACGAAGCTTCGCTGGTTGGGGTAGGCGAAGGTTCTTCGTGTCAAGGAGAACCATCTGCCCACCGCAGAAGGGTAAATCCCTTCAACTTTTATCGGCGTTGCGGCTGGCGGTATTTGCCTTCCGTGTGAGAGTACGACGGCTTATGCCAGCGATGCTTGCTTGCCTTTACTTTATGATGCTATTTCTAGCATATGATAATTATATGCATGCATGAATTGCTTGATTTTCTAGGCTAGGTGCTTTCCTATATTCTATTATAGTTATAGCACCGAGCTATGTTGCTTGCACCGAATTCTGGGTTTTCGGTTGCCACTGAATTGCCTTCTAACAAATTCGGGAAGGAACTGTTCAAGACGCTACGCGACCCGCGGAACCCTCGCGTAACACCTGGTTACGGGGCCTTGTGTCGAGCCTATCTATAGCCTCGTGCTGTACCCAGGTGTTCATTCAATTACAATAATCTTTTGTGAGCTCGATCCTAGTCCTCACACTTGGTAATCATAGCCTGTTTGCAAGCTAAGTTTTTTGACTGCTTAAACCTAGCTTTTAAAACTGCGGGGGCGACGACGGAAAGCGCCGATTTCGGGTACGTAAACCAGTTCGGCGCTATTTTCTAACGTCCCCCTCGAACCGGTTTTCGAACACTCCTCTGGTCCAGTGGCGAAAAAGTTGGAATTTCGACCGTCGGATCTAGTCGAATCTCAATGGCCTTGAGAATTTCGCCCAAACAAGTTGGAATTTGGAGCGTCGGATCGAATTTCTTCTCAATGGCCGAAATCAGACGCAAATTTCGACTAAGGAGAATAACGCGACTTACAGAATCAGCCCTCATCATTTCAGCAGTCAACTCGACTCACAGTAAGATGACCAGCGCCTAAAATCCATATATTTTTGTCGCGAACCTTCCTATAAATTGCCAAATGGAGGAAATAAATGATAATTCCGTACGGAAAATTACGCAGTTACACACCGGCCTGGACCAGACGCGAGCGGCACTCCAGCAAAAAGAGGAGCTTCTCGCGAACCAGTCGGCAGCCGCCATAGCAGCACCGAACGCAGCGGCGAATGCAGCCGCGACGTCAGCAGCAGCAGCAGCGCCGACACCGACACTTAACCCAACAGCAGCGGCAGCGGCTACAGTGAATCTTGAGGCGGCACGTCCGAGGCTACCGGAGACGATCAATCGGAATGCGAGAGACACTTGACGAGAAGTGAGAATGGATGAATGAACTATGAAACAATTGGGTACAAGTACTAACCCTACTTGGGTTGTACCCCTTATGGGCTACCCCACTACAGCCTACACAAATGTATAAGCTATAATGTTCTGACACACCCCCATAGGCAAAGTGGGGGAGAACAAGCGGTCACAAGACCAGTAAAGCAAAGCAAAGCAAGCTCAGGGTGGATCACAAAGTCACCACACAGTCCGAGCACAAGAGTAAGGCCAGAAGGCCAGTTCACATGCAAGAACATATATATAAAGGTAAACAAGCAAGTGCAAGTATAGAAAGAGTACAGTACAAACAAGATCAACAAGTGAGTAAGTGAGGCCAGGTAGGCACAAGACCTAGCAAAGTACGAAAGCGCTGATGATCACAAGGCGGAAGGGCCTTGGTGAAGATATCAGTAGTGTTGGCCTCAGAGGCCACGTAGGTGAGGCGGAGCTGACCACGCTGCTGCAGCTCACGAGCCAGGAAGTAGCGGAGAGCAATGTGCTTCGTTCTGTGCTCCAGTCTGTGCTCCCGAAACAAGGCCAGCATGGCCTTGTTGTCTACGTACAGAACTGGAGGAGAACGAGGCGGCTCTCCTAGGTCAGTCAGCAGGTAGGTGAGCCAGCGTAGCTCCTGTGCAGCCATGGCCCCGGCGTAGATCTCAGCCTCACAGCAATGACGAGAAGTGAGAATGGAATGAATGAACTATGAAAGAGTTGGGTACAAGTACTAACCCTAATTGGGTTGTACCCCTTATGGGCTACCCCAGTACAGCCTACACAAATGTATAAGCTATAATGTTCTGACACACCCCCATAGGCAAAGCGGGGGAGAGCAAGGGGTCACAAGACTAGTCAAGCAAACCAAAGCAAAGCAAAGCAAAGCAAGTTCAGGGTGGATCACAAAGTCACCACACAGTCCGAGCACAAGAGTAAGGCCACAAGGCCAGTTCACATGCAAGGTCATATATATAAAGGTAAAACAAGCAAGGGCAGGTATAGAAAGAATACAGTACAAACAAGATCAAGAAGTGAGCAAGTGAGGCCAGGAAGGCACAAGACCTAGCAAAGTACAGAAGCACTGATGATCACAAGGCGGAAGGGCCTTGGTGAAGATATAAGCAGTGTTGGCCTCAGAGGCCACGTAGGTGAGGCGGAGCTGACCACACTGCTGCAGCTCACGAGACAGGAAGTAGCGGAGAGCAATGTGCTTCGTTCTGTGCTCCAGTCTGTGCTCCCGACACAAGGCGAGCATGGCCTTGTTGTCTACGTACACAACAGGAGGAGAACGAGGCGGCTCTCCTAGGTGAGTCATCCGAAGGCAGAGCTGAGAGCGAGTGGCGAGTAGACAGAGGAGTGGCCTGAGGCGAGGAGTACGTGAAGCCGAAGCGCTGAAGGACCTGCTGCACCATGTGTGACTTAGTCAGGGTAATGGTGCGCTGTGCTCTGTCCCGGGAGATCTGCAAGCCAAGGTAGCTGCGCAGTTCACCCAGGTCAGTGCACGTGTGTCTCTTCTGCAGCTCGGACTTCACGTGGGCGAGTCCAGCAGTGTCAGTAGTGGCAAAGACCAGGGTGGCGACGTACACGAGGATGTAGAACGGCGGCAAAGAGGTGTCGGTGCGTAGAAATAGCGACGGGTCGGCTGTAGAAGGAGCAAACCCAAGAGCCGCAAGTGTAGTCCTCAGTGTGTCATGCCACTCGCGGGGCGCCTGGCGGAGACCGTAGACTGGCCGCCAGAGGCTCCACTGGGTACCAGGAGGAAACGACCCAGTGAAGCCAGGAGGGCGGCGCAGCCAGATCTCCTCGTGCAGGCTGCCGTGCAGGAAAGCTCTGCTGAAGTCAAGAGAGTGAAGCTCGTAGTCGCGCTGAGCGGCTATGTGTAGCAGCACCCGAAGAGTGGTCATCTTCGGGGTGGGAGAGAAGGTCTGAAAGTAGTCAAATCCCTGCTGCTCTCTGAAGCCTCGAGCCACGTAACGCGCCTTGAAGACAGGCGGAGAGCCCGGCGGCCGCTTCACCCTGAAAATCCACATCCCACTGACGATGTTCGCCCTAGGCGGGGGAACCTCATCAACGTAGGTGCCTGTGGACTTCCAGGAAGCCATCTCTGCGTCCATAGCCGACTTCTACTGAGAGGAGTAGGGACCCTCGATCGCCTCAGCGTACGATCGAGGAGTCGGGATGTCTGGTGCATCCGGGTCTCCCTCAGGGGCAATCAGCGTGGACACGAGATGGGGCAAAGAAGCCGCAAAGCACTGGAACTCCTCTTGCCTGTCCTCAAGGACGTCCGTGCTAAAAGCACACTCACCCCCGATGGTCGGAGGACAGACAGACTCAAACGCAGCAACAAGACTGGCAGCATAGTCTAGACGAAGTGTTCGGCGTAGGTCTGCTCCACTCACCAAGTTCATAGAGAACGAGGGGAGGTAGAGAACAGACAGGGTGCCAGAGGGGGCTGCAGGGCACGGAAGGACAGTGGAGAAGCTAGCAAGGACAGGACCCCCAGAGGGGTCTGCCAGGGAGACTGCAACCGGCCGACTAAGCGATGTAAGAGTGGTGCGGTCTCGAAAGAAGGAGCGGGACGCACTCGAGTCCAGGGTGAATGTGTGGAAGGCCTGAGCCGACGTAGTACCTGAGAGAGCAGACTCACCAGCACCTGGGGCGGCAGACGCACTAGCACCTGGAGCAGCAGACACACTAGCACCTAGAGCAGCAGCCTCACCAGCACCTAGCGCAGCAGCCTCAATGCCCGAGTTAGGCGGTACACACAGGTAACAGGCACCCTCAACACTATCAGCAACAGCATACATGGCAACAAGAATAGCATCAAAGTCAAGATCAAAGATAGCAACCCCGGCCTTAGCCAGATCTCCCTAGCGAGGGATCTCTGACGCCTCAGGGAAATGGTCGCCGGTACGGAGAACGTAAGAGCAGGGACCAAAACCCCCACCGCGCTTGCGTGCAGTGTACCACTCACGAAGGTGCTGAGGGGACAGGGTCACACCACTCCGCTCCTGCTGCTGGCGCTGACCATCACCGGCGCCCCTAGAGTCGCGACTCGCTCCACCACCGCCGCCTCCGCCACCGCCGCCTCCGCCGCCTCCGCCGCCTCCTCCACCTCTGCCTCCTCCACTACCTCCGCCATCTCCGCTCCCTCCGCCACCTCCACCGCCTCCGCCGCCTCCACTGCTGCCGCCGCCGCCGCCACCCGCGGCACCACTCCCACCACCACCCCCACTCCCTCCACCGCCTCCACCACCACCTCCACCGCCCCCTCCAGCCCCTCCATTGCCCTTGCCCCCCTTGCCCTTGCCGGTGCGGCGTCTCCCGCTCGGGGCAGACGCAGCGCCGACCGTCTCAAAACCAACGAGGTCGGCCGCAGCAGCAGAGGCAACAGAGGGCAAGAGGGGGGAGGGAGAACACCCCTCAAAGACGGGGGTGCGAGGGTCACCACGAGAGGCTCCTACAGCGACTATGCTCTTCTTTATCGCTAGGAGGGCCTTCTCGAGGAGGTCAACGGTAAGAGTGGTGGGGCAAATAGAGAGGAAGTGGTCCCTGACTACCCGAAGAGAGTCAGGGAGCCGGGTGACTATGTAGTAGAGGGTGATGTACATGGGGGGGGGAGTTCTTGGCGCAGAATTCAGCAGGAAGCGCAGCGCGGTAGCGAGTGTCACTAGTGCGGAGGTGCGTAATGAGGTCAGTGACTGTGGGAAAGGTAGCAAGGTCAGGGAAGAGGTACGGTAGCATGAGGCGGCTTAGTGCAGCAGTGGCAAGGGAGGAGTAGCGTGCAACTACAGCGTCGTACAAGGTCTGAGCACTCTTGTACTGGTTAAAGTGTGCACGCTCAGTGGTCGGTAAGTGGCGACGCGAGGCGAGCAGCAGCATCACGTGTGGCCCACTGTGAGCGAACAGTGGCGTCAGCATCAGCAGCAGGGGCAGGGGAGGCACTAGAAGTGAGGTCAAACAGGGAGAGGCCGTCTGCCCTATCGCACTGCAGGAAAAGCTGCAGATCATCTACCCAGACCTCAAAGTCCACTGCCCGACCCTCAGCGTCAAACGTGAGAATGCTAGGGGAAGCCATAACAGCAGTAGGCAGGCAGTGAGTACAGTGAGGCAGGGCAGTGCAGTGGCAGAGACTGTGCTCTTACCAGGCAGGTGGGGTGATCGGGCTGCTCGTCGGCTCGGCTGTCGGGCGGCTCGGCTGCAGGGCGGCTCGGCTGCTCGGCGGCTCGGCTGTTGGGCGGCTCGGCTGCTCGGCGGCTCGGCTGCACGGTGTTGGGCGGCTCGGCTGTCCGGCGGCTCGGCTGCTGGGCGGCTCGGCTGCTGGGCGGCTTGGCAGTCGGGCGGGTTGGTTGGTGGGCGGCTCAGCGGTCGGGCGGTCGGACGGCTCAGCTGGCCGGCGGTTCGGCTACTCGGCGCTGCGGGCGCTGGGCGGCGGGGTCGCAGGTGGTGGCGAGGCCGCAGGTGGCGGCGGGGCCTAAGGTGGCGGCGGGCCGCAAGGGTGGGCGGGGCCGCAGTGGGCGATGTGACCGCAGTGGGCGGGGCCGTAGGTGGCGTCGGGGCCGAAGTGGGCGACGGGGCCGCAGGTGGAGGGGCCGCAGGTGGCGACGGGGCCGCAGTGGGCGACAGGGCCGCAAGGGTGGGCGGGGCCGCAGGTGGCAACGGGGCCGCAGGTGGCGGGGCCGCAGGTGGCGGGGCCGTGGGTGGCGACGGGGCCGCAGTGGGCGACGGGGCCGCAAGTGGTGACAGGGCCGTGGTGGGCGACGGGGCCGCAGGTGGGCGACGGGGCCGTAGCGGGGCCGTAGCGGGGCCTAAGCGTGGCCGGAGCGGGGCCGTAGCGGGGCCTAAGCGGGGCCGTAGCGGGGCCGTAGCGGGACCTAAGCGGGGCCGTAGCGGGGCCGTAGCGGGGCCTGACCGGGCCTAAGCGGGGCTGCGACGAGGCTGTAAGGGGCCTAAGCGGGGCCGTTACGGGGCCGTAAGGGGCCTAAGCGGGGCCGCAACCGGGCCGTGAGGGGCCTAAGCAGGTCGTAGAAGGCGGCTCGAGAGGCCATAAGGGCGGACAACGGGGGCCACTAAGGCGGCCCGAGGCGCTACTCGGGTTAGGAGCAAAGCGTGCTCCGGGCAGGGAAGGAAAAAAACGTTCGTGGTGGTGGGCCCTAGGCAGTATTCCCACTAGGGAACCTGCTCGATACCATGACGAGAAGTGAGAATGGAATGAATGAACTATGAAAGAGTTGGGTACAAGTACTAACCCTAATTGGGTTGTACCCCTTATGGGCTACCCCACTACAGTCTACACAAATGTATAAGCTATAATGTTCTGACAAGCTGGAGCCAAGAACAGAAGACGAGCGCGTAGACCACCACGAAACAGAGCCGGAGCCAAGGCTGAAGGTGTAACCCTGTGACGACAGCTGCAGAGCCTGGTCGTCAGCCCAAGAAGCGTCAGCGTGACCTGTGAGGACTACTCGACGTCGCCCTCCAAGCACTAGCCCCATGCCCGACGTACTGCACACGTAGCGCAACACCCTCTTCGCTGCAGCCATGTGCTCTGGTCTGTGTCTCCCAGGAGCAACATAGCGTGCCAAGATGCTAAGAGGGTACGCAAAGTCAGGTCGTGTGCAGGTCATCAGGTACATGAGGCAGCCAACAAGCTCTGGGTACGGGCCACTAGACTCTATGGACTCATCCGAAGGCAGAGCTGAGAGCGAGTGGCGAGTAGACAGAGGAGTGGCCTGAGGCGAGGAGTACGTGAAGCCGAAGCGCTGAAGGACCTGCTGCACCATGTGTGACTGAGTCAGGGTAATGGTGCGCTGTGCTCTGTCCCGGGTGATCTGCAAGCCAAGGTAGCTGCGCAGTTCACCCAAGTCTGTACACGTGTGTCTCTTCTGCAGCTCGGACTTCACGTGGGCGAGTCTAGCAGTGTCAGCAGTGGCAAAGACCAAGTCGTCGACGTACACGAGGATGTAGAACAGCGGCAAAGAAGTGTCGGTGCGCAGAAATAGCGACGGGTTGGCTGTAGAAGGAGCAAACCCAAGAGCCGCAAGTGTAGTCCTCAGTGTGTCGTACCACTCACGGGGCGCCTGGCGGAGACCGTAGACTGGCCGCCATAGGATCCACTGGGTACCAGGAGGAAACGACCCAGTGAAGCCAGGAGGGCGGCGCAGCCAGATCTCCTCGTGCAGGCTGCCCTGCAGGAAAGCTGTGCTGAAGTCAAGAGAGTGAAGCTCGTAGTCGCGCTGAGCGGCTATGTGCAGCAGCACCCGAAGAGTGGTCATCTTCGGGGTGGGAGAGAAGGTCTGAGAGTAGTCAACTCCCTGCCGCTCACCGAAGCCTCGAGCCACGTAACGCGCCTTGAAGACAGGCGGAGAGCCGGGTGGCCGCTTCACCCTGAAAATCCACATCCCACTGACGATGTTCGCCCCAGGTGGGGAAACCTCGTCGACATAGGTGCCTGTGGACTTCCACGAAGCCATCTCTGCGTCCATGGCCGACTGCCACTGAGAGGAGTAGGGACCCTTGATCGCCTCAGCGTACGATCGAGGAGTCGGGATGTGTGGTGCATCCGGGTCTCCCTCAGGGGCAATCAGCGTGGACACGAGATGGGGCCAAGCAGCCGCAAAGCACTGGAGCTCCTCCTGCTTGTCCTCAAGGACGTCCGTGCTAAGAGCACACTCACCCCCGACGGACGGAGGACAGACAGACTCAGACGCAGCAACGAGAGTGGCAGCGTAGTCTAGACAACAGCGGGCAGCGAAGTCGACAAGCTCAGCAACTAGAGCAGACGCAGCAGTGGACTCAAAGGAAGGGTCAGTGACAACAGTAGCAAGAAGGCGCGTGACCGAAGGACTAGCAGCACGAAGGGAGTCAGACTCCGGGTCAGCAAGAGAAGGAAGAGAGGACTCTGGAGGAGACGGCAAAGGGACACGCAGAGGAGCAGTGGAAGGACTCAGTGCCATCTGGTGTGTGCCGGGGACCGTAGGAGAACGCGGACGTGCAGCACGACGACTAGTGCGAGCAGCACAAACAGGCAACGCAGGACGAGCCGCAGGCTCACGACGCTCAGCAAGACCTCCAGTAGGACCAGTGTAGGGAGAAGGAGCAGGTAGCGGGGAGGCACGCTGTAACTGTGACTGCGACTGGACTGGCTGTGAACACTCTAAGGGAGGAGCAGGACCAGGAGAGGGCGGGAGACCAAGAACCTGCTCCAGGAGCAGAACGAAGTACGGTCTCGGCCGCTCAGCGCCTCCAGAACCAGCAAGGACGGCACCAATACCCCCAGCGGCAGCACCAGCGCCAGCAGAACCTCCAGCTCCAACAGCGCCAACTCCATTACCCTCAGAAGCACCAGCGCCAGCAGCACCGCCAGCGCCAACACCCCCAGCAGCTCTAGCTCCAGCCGCACCAACTCCAGTAGAACCGTCAGCACCAGCAGCCTCAGCAGCACCCTCAGACGCACCAGCACCAGTAGAAACACCAGCGCCAACACCCCCAGCAGCTCCACCTCTAGCAGCACCAGCACCGACAGCAGCTCAAGTAGAACCAACTCCAGTAGCTCTAGCAGCACCCCCAGACTCATCAGCATGTCTCCAGCGGCGGGCGAACCATTCGCGTAGCTCCTGTGGAGAGAGCGGCTCCCGCCTCGACGAAGCACCGCCGGCGGCCACACGACGTCGGCGGAGCACCCCCAGGCTCCGCACCCCCAGGCTCTGCACCACCAGGCTCAGCACCCCCAGGCTTAGCACCCCCAGACTCAGCACCCCCAGGCTCAGCACCCCCAGTCGCAGCACCCCTAATCTCAGCACCCCTAGACCTAGCACCCCCAGACCCGGCACCTGCAGGCTCAGCACCTCTAGCAGCACCAGGTTCAACAGCTACCTCGACAGGCTTGACAACGTCTACGTAGGACACACCTGACGGGGGAGGACCCTGAGGAGGGAGGGGGTCTACCTGGGGAGGACCTAGCGCAAGGAAGAGCGGCGGGGGGGGGAGGGGCGCAGTGCGGTAGGGGAAGAGACGGTAGTAAGGCACCGACTCGTCAAACGTGACGTCCTGGGAGGACAAAACACGGCGCGAGGTGGGGTGGTAAATCTGCCAGCCAGGCGCGTCAGGGGGGAAGCCAAGGAAGACGCAATGAACAGCACCGGGGGACAGCTTGTCCGCAGACAAGTCGCGGACAAACGCCCGAGATCCCCAGACCCGAAACGCAGACGCATCGCCAACCTTCCCTGTCCACCCCAAGGCGGGGGAGGTCTCTGGCAAGGAGACCCGGGGCTGAAGGTTGAGCTGATGCGCGGCGTACTGAACCGCAAACGGCCACAGAAAATGGGGGGCAGCCGCATGCATCATGGACGTACGAGCGACGTCCATAACCATGCCAATGCGGCGCTCAGCAATCCCATTTTGCTGTGGAGAGGCCGGAAGCGTGAAGGTCTGGCGGATGCCCTGTGCACGACAGAAGGCTCCCAGAGGGGCAGAGGAAAACTCACCGCCTCTGTCCGAGTGCAGACGCAGAACAGGAAAGTCCGAGCCGAAACTCTCTCTGAGCTGGAGACAAGCTGCGCGGATCCAGTCGATCAACACCTCAGAGACGTCACCCTTGCTGAGCAAGGGGAAGACTGTGGTGTAACGCGAGTAGTCGTCAATGACCAGCAGAAAGTACCGCTCTCGCCCCTGCCCAATGACGCGGGCTGGGCCCCACACGTCCATGTGTAGGGTCTGCAGCGGAGCCTCTGTCGGAGGAAACTCGGAGGAGTGAGGGGCGGCGCGCAGTCGCCCCTCGACGCAGGTAGGGCCAAGACCCCGGAGGAAGGGAAGGGAGAGACCGAGGGAGACCACAGATAAGGACACGGGAGGCCATGCCTCGGAGATGAGGCAGGGAGGGGTGACCCAGACGGTGGTGCCAAAGGAGAGTCTGGTGGGACAGCAGACGACACGAGCAGGGGGCAGACTCAGGACCAGACCTGGACGCCGCAGCAAACACCTGACTCGACGCAACTACCTGGGCAGACTCAGCAGTAGGAGGAGACTCAGCAGTAAGGGTGTACAGGCTCGACCCTGGCCGACGGGTGAAGGTGGCCA